GAGAGGGAGAAGCAGGCTTCCCGCTGAGCAGAGAGCCCGATGTGGGGCTCGATCCCAGGACCCTGGGATCATGACCTGAGCCGAAGGCAGATGCTTAAGGACTGAGCCACCCAGGCGTCCCTAAAGTTTATATATTTAAAGTCACATAATCTTAACAACAGATACAATAATCATTATGCTTAATGATAAAATATTAGAAGCATTCCTTTAAAAACCAGTGGGCATCTTTATGTTGTCCCTATCACACCTTCTAGTTAACATTTTATTATGGTTCTAATTAGGACAATAAGAAAAAGGAGAAAGGGGTGCCTGGGTGACTAAGTCGGTTAAGCGTCTGCCTTCAGCTCAGGTCATGATCTCAGGGTCCTGGGATCCAGCCCCAAGTCATGCTCCCTGCTCAGCAGGGAGTCTCCTTCTCCTTCTCCCTTTCCCCATCCACCTCGCTTGTTTTCTCTCTCTCCAATAAATAAAATCTTAAAGAAAAAAAAAGAAAAGATAAAGAGATAAAAGGTAAGGACTAAAAAGGAAGAAGAAACTGTCATAATTTGCAGACTATGATTATCTATGTAGAAAATACAAGAAAACAAACAGGCAAGCTATTTATTTAGAATACTAAATAAATGCTGGATAAAAACTGTACCCGTTTAAAAAAAAGCGGGGGGCTCCTGGGTGGCTCAATCCTTAAGCGTCTGCCTTTTGCTCGGGTCATGATCCCAGGGTCCTGGGATCGAGCCCCACATCGGGCTCCATGCTCCGCGGGAAGCCTGCTTCTCCCTCTCCCACTCCCCCTGCTTGTGTTCCCTCTCTTGCTGTGTCTCTCTGTCAAATAAATAAATAAATAAAGTCTTTAAAAAAAAATAAGTGTACCTGTACATTAGCTACATAAATTAGAAAATGAAGTTTAAAAATACTATTTACAATGGTAACTAATCTACAAGATACCAAGGAATAAATTCAACAAATGATGTACAAGGCTTTTCAGAGGAAAAATATATAATTATATTGGAAGATACAAAAGATCTAAATGAATGGAGAAATATATCATATTCAAGTATGAGAAGATGGCAACTGTGCCCAAGTTAATCAATAAATGCACGACCTATAATTTTAATGCGGTTCCATTAATAGTTGTCCCCAGGCTGATTCTAAAATCACATGGAAGAATAAGAGGCCAAAAAGAACCAAGACAATTCTGAAGAACAAGGGGAGGCCGAAGAATTTAACACACCTCACCAAAGAAGATACACAGATGGCAAATAAGCATATTTGCTTCAAATCATATGTTGTCAGGGAAATGCAAAATAAAATGAGATACCACTGCACATGTATTAGAATAACCAAACTACAGAGCTCTGACAACACCAAATGCTGGCGAGAATGTGGACTAACAAGAACTCTCATTTGTTACTGGTGGGAATGCAAAATGGCACAGCCACTTTGGAAGACAGTTTGGTGGTTTCTTATAAAACTAATCATACTCTTACCATATGATCCAGCAATTGCATTCCTTGGTATTTACCTAACAGTGTTGAAAACTAAGGTCCACACAAAAACTTGCACACTGACATTTATTTCAGCTTTGTTCATAACTGCCAAAACTTGGAAGGAACCAAGATGTCCCCCGCTAGGTGAATGAACTAACTATGGTATGTCTAGACGATGGAGTATTATTCAGTGCCAATCAGAAATGAGCTATCAAGCCATAATAAGACACAGAGAAAATTTACATACATATTGTTAAGTGAAAGAAGCCAATATGAAAAAGTTATACACTGTATTATGCCAAATACATGACATTTTGGAAAAGGCAAAACTATGGAGATAGTAAAAAGATCAGTGGTTGCCAAGGGTTGGGTTGGGGGAAGAATGAATACGCAGGGCACAGAGGAGTCTCAGTGCAATGAAAATACTGTGTGATACCATAATAATGGATATATGTCATTATACATTTGTCTAAATCCATAGAATACACAATGCCAAGAGTGAACCTTAATGTAAACTTTGGGTGATTATGATGTGTTAATGTAGTTTCATCAATTGCAACAAATGTATCACTCTGGTGGGGGAGGATAATGGAGGAGACTATGCATGTGCGGGGGCAAAGGGTATATGGGAAATGTGAATCTAAAACTGATCTAAAAAAATAAAGTCTCAGGGCACCTGGGCGCTCAGTTGATTGAGAGTCTCCTTCAGCTCAGGTCATGATCTCAGGGTCCTGGGATCCAGTGTCAGGCTCCCTGCTCAGCAGGGAGTCTGCTTTTTCCTCTCCCTCTTGCTCAAATAAATAAATAAAATCTTGGGGCACGTGGGTGGCTCAGTCAGTTAAGCATCTGCCTTTGGTTTAAGTCATAATCCCAGGGTCCTGAGATTGAGCCCTGCATCGGACTCCCTGATGCTCAGCAGGGAGTCTGCTTCTCCCTCTCCCCCCTCCTCCCTGCTTATGCTCTCTGCTCTCTCTCTAATAAATAAATATTAAAAAAAATAAAATCTCAAAAAAAAAATAAAGTCTTGGGACGTCTGGGTTGGTTAAGTGTCTGCCTTCGGCTCAGGTCATGATCCCAGGGTCCTGGGATGGAGCTCTGCCCTGCTCAGCGGGGAGCCTGCTTCTCCCTCTCCCTCTGCCTGCTGCTCCCCCTGCTTGTGCCCCATCCCCTGTCAAATGAATAAATAAAATCTTAAATAAAATAAAAATAAATAAATAAAATCTTAAAAAAAAAAAGCAGTGGAGAATGGATGGGCTAGTCAAACAATGGAACAGTAGGGACAACTGGTTAACCATAAGGTAAACAGTAAAATTAGATCTCTGACGCCACACACACACACAAAATTCCAGATGGATTAAAGCCCATGTGTGGAAAACACATCTTAAACACTTACATTCCTACTGGATTATAAGCTCCTTAAATTAGATGTGTCTTGCACAATTGTGTATTTAATCCTATTTAGTATATACAAACACTTAGATGATAGAAAATAATTATAATCTGAATATCTATGATCTTAGTATAGGCAAGGATTTCTTACACAGTATACAAAACAACACAAGCTATAAAAGATAAAATTGATAAATCTGATAACACTAAAATTAAAAATGCCTATGAAACGGGAAACTCCACAATTAAAGTGAAAAGACAAGCCAAAAAAACAAAACAAAACAGGAAAAAGGACAGATTTGGGATGAAGAAAAAGAAAATGGGTAAATGACAAAAACAGGTAATTCAGAGAACAGAAAACCTAGAGAGCTGATAAATGCATGAAAATGCTTAGTCTCACTAGTAATCAGGGAAATGCAAATTAAAATAAGATATTTCATAATTAGATTGGGCAAAATTTAAAAATCTGATACAACCAAGTATGCAGATGAATATATGGGAAAATACAAACCCTTAATGCTCTCACAACCCACTGTGGAGAGCAAGTGGAAATAGCTAGTTAGGTTGATGAACTTTTAGGAGTCTACCCTAGAGAAATTCTTACACAGTGCACTGAAGAGACATTTAAGAATGACAACTACAGGGGGTGCCTGGCTGGCTCAGTTGGTGGAGCATGTGACTCGATCTCGGGGTCATGTGTTTGAGACCACGTTCGGCATAAAGATTACTTTAAAAAAAAAAAAGGACAACTACAGCACTGTTTATAATAGAAAAAAACAACACAACAATTAACTGTTCCTTAGTAGTGAATAAACTGGTTTAATTACACAATGGAATTTATAAGTAGTTAAAATGAATTAGCTCTATATGTATCAAAGGGTACTTCTCAAAAGCCACCTTGAATTTAAGAAAAAAGGCAAGTTGCACAAGAATAGGTACAGTATATTAAAAAAAAAAAGAACTCATTATTTTCCAAAATCTTTCCTGAATAAAGGGACTCTTTAGTCTAACCCCTCAAACAGGCAGTATTCCTTCTTCTATCTGCACTGGAATCCTACTCATCCTTTAAGGATCAATTTATATGCCACTTTCTTCAAGAAGCTTTCCTTGATTACCTCAATCTGAAGAGATTATTCCTTGTCTATCCTTCCACATTGTTTGGTTTATATCACCTATGTGACAGGAATCGCACACTGCTTAAAATGTGCCTATTTTTGCATGTCTCACATCTACTACAGTATGAGTTCCTTAAGGTTAAAGGCACTACCTCACACAAGTGTGTATTCAACTTAATACAGCCACAGCGTTGGATGAAAGCAATAAAACGGGGGCGCCTGGGTGGCTCAGTCATTAAGCGTCTGCCTTCGGCTCGGGTCATGATCCCAGGGTTCTGGGATAGAGCCCCGCAGGGGGCTCCCTGCTGGGCGGGAAGCCTGCTTCTCCCTCTCCCACTTCCCCTCCTTGTGTTCCCTCTCTCGCTGTCTCTTTCTTTATCAGGTAAATAAATAAAATCTTAAAAAAAAAAAGCGATAAGTTTAATAAGACACGGTTCCTGTCTCAAGGACGTTATTAACTTACGATGCAGTAGAGGGAGACAGACACATAAACTAATGATAAGAGTTATAAAAGCAGCATAAACAGACCGCTATGGATAACAAAAGAGGGACTGTACCCCGCACAACGCCCTGCAAAAGCAGGCATTCACTATGTGTATTAGTCTAATTTATCGGTGGAGACCAAGGGAAGAGGGATGCTTGCTGCGAGGGCAGAGACGGGCAATAGGAACAAGATGCGATGGAAGTGGGTTTTGTTTCCCCCCCCTTCAGGCAACGCGATCGGGTGCGAGTTTGATGGGAAAAGTCGAAGAAATCAGGGGGCAGGGTCTTAAGGGTCGGAGGGTTGGGGTGGTCTGCTGGGGTAGGTGTGGAGTAGGTTGGCGAAAGAAGAGGTAAGATCCGACTCGAAAAAGGCTCAGCACGGTACCTTTCTCATTGCGAACCGGGACGGCCCCAGCCGTAGACTGAATGGGCGGTTGTTTCATGAGTGCGCTTGGGACCGACATGTTGATGGCAGCGGCGGTGACTCCCGAAACTTCAGTGATTCCAAAGAGTGAACAGCAAAAACGTCAACGAACAGAAAAAAAAACAAACCCCCTTCTGCAGGCACCGGACACCGCTGCGCGACAGAGAGAAACAGCACTTACGGCTGAGCTAGAGAAACCGGAAATAATCGACCAGAGAATTCTGGGATTGTGGACGTCGAGTCTGTTACTGCGCATGGTCGTAGGCGGCTGTAGCGTCTTCCATCTCGCAGTGTTTGGACGTCGCTTCTGGAGGGAAATTGCTTCCAATTGGGCTTTGCTGTTAAAATCCTGTGGCGAGGCAGGTCCGAATTACGGGTTTCTTTTGTTACCTTGGTTTGAACCCGAGGAAAATGGGCTAGTGATGAATAAGGAATTGAGCAGATAGTGAAGGGCAGTTTGTCCAGACTGTTGAAAGCTCAGAATTGGAGTTTAATGAGAATAGAAGTCCTGCTAACAGCACCTGATTAGCTCAGTTGATGAGGCTGAGTGGGTTGTGGTGAGGTATTTTTTGGTCATCACGCGAGGGCAGCTGGTGGTGATTTAGGCTATTGCCATGAAAAAAGAAAAAATCCCCCAAGGGTCCTGGAGCAATGCCTGAAGTCAGAACAGTGTACTTTTTGGCTTTCCAGTTTTTTTAGTTTCTGAAGACCGTCTATTAAAACATTCCTGGCTAGACAGTGTTTGTATAGAAGTACACGAGTAATTATTAAGTACTTGCTGTGTTTACTGGCCTGAGGTCTCTAAGGAGTATGGAATATTGTTTAAAGGCTTGAATTTTACTTAGGAAGTCTTCTAGGGCTTGGTAACGGAAGCAATCACAATTTACTAGCTGGGTTTGTAAAAAAAAAAAAAATACTGACTTACTGGAAGTCGGAACACATTTGACCATAGAAAGGATTTCCTAAGTGTTGTGGCAGGGAGAGATGGGACAGCATGAAAAAAGTCTTGAAGTCCAGAAATAGCATGGTATATATTAAACACTGAAAAGTTTGATTTTATCAGTAATTTTTGAGTCAAGGAGTTTGGCAAGAATCAGATCATGGAGGGCCCTGATGTTACTGTTAATAGGGTTAGTTCTCAAATTATTTCACCTGTGTTGTAAAACTGGGTCTAGGCTGGGAGAGGAAATAGAATTGGGTAAGTCTTGAGCAAGGAACAATGGAGGACCCATGCCAGGGAAACAGTTTTGGGCTAGAAAGAAAAGGATCTTAAAAATAGAGTAGGTAGAAATTTATGTTTTGAATTTAACAGCTCCAAAACCATGCTGTCCAGAGGGAGTACATCATGGGAAAACAATTGTTTTGACTTAGGGCAACCCAGAGAATAGAAACAAAAAAAAAAAGGTTAATATGGCTGTGACTGTACGAAGCACAGGGCACTAAAATCTTATTTGTTACTTTGTGTACAAAAATGATTTGATTCACAACTTTTCCCCAGCCTTTGGGCTTTGTAAGGTCATCATTAGGAGCTTAGTTAACTGGTGGGCAGATGATGAGGTGAAATTTAAACCAGCTTAAGTTATCAGCTCTTGAAAAAAATAAAAATGCTTCCCTTCTAGGAAGAAGGTAATGTGGTAGCCATAGAGCGTAATTTCCTGGTGGTGGGGTTATAAGGAACCGGGGGGCCCAAGTAAAGGCTGCCTGTTGATTTCGATTTTCTAGCTTCTCTATTCATATGGCATCTAAGTGCGTCTGAATCTTTTCCAGGCTCACATTGCAAGGCAAGGTGGTTTTTTCTCAGCAGAAGCGCCAGTATTTTTCAAAGCGAGATACTGGCATCAGCAGCATCAAAAAAATACCGAGATCTAAGGTAAAAATGTGTATTCGTTCCAATTACAAGAATTTCAGTATGGGGTGAGGCTGGTGAGCTTGACGCGTACCGAGACGACCGTAACGCCTGCGTGCCCCTCCCCCTCCGGCCCGCTGGCGTCAGAACCGTTCAGAGCCGCCCGCCAGGCCCCGCCTCAGCCCCGCTGCTCCTCCCCTTCCCCCTCCCCGCGCCTCCCGCCGCAATCTTGGCGGGAAGACGCCAGCTGCTAAGCCGCCGAAAGATGTCGGGGTCGCGCGCGGGCAGTGAGGAGAAGGTGGGCTCCAGACAGCGACTCCAGATGAAGGTGAGCAACGGCTTGTTGCTTTCGGGTGCGCTCCTGCCTCAGTGTTCGTGAGGCATTGCCGGGACCAGGCCCGAGAGGGCACGAAGACTTGGCACCCACCACCTCCACACTCCGGAACTAGTTTCCGCTCCTTGGGGCATGTCTCAGCTTAACGGGTTTTTCGGGGGTGTTGTTTCAAAAGATAATCGGGGATCCCGGCCCCCTATTTTCCTCTATGGAAACTCGGCCTTCAGCGTTGGGGAAGGTTATTAGTAACCCTAGAAATAGGGACAGGATGGGATCAGGGACTCTGCATTTGCCTTTGGGGCAATTATTGTCGGCTTCCCACTCTGAAGACAATTCCAGTTACTCAGAAGGTGACAGTTGGGGTAGTCTCCTCAGTTACAAATGTAATTATTATTATTACATTATTACTGGTTTGCCGAGTCATGGGTAAAATAATGCACCCAGTTATAATAAATAATTAAATTTAGGTTAATGAGTTAGGTATCTAGATTTTGGTGAGGAAAAAAGTTTCGTTACAGGCTATCACTTTGGATTTATTTACACAGACCTGTAAGAAAAGGCATAGGATCTGGGATTCTAATGCTCTCTTTTCTTTTATTGACCTGAATAGGTGAATGAATATAAAGAAAATCAAAACATCACTTGTGTATCTCTGAGACCAGTACAGACTACAGTTTTAGGAAAAACACCTAAGGTTTATCTTGTTCCCTTTTCACTCAGTAATTACAAGCCAGACCAAATTAAGCACTCCAAATCCCTATTGGATAAGAATTCTAACAATGAAGTTGCATGTAAGAAATGTAAGGAGACTGAAATAAGGAAAACTTGCAGAAGGATTTTAACTCCAAGGATGGAAGGCACGTCTTCCAAGGCAGAATCTACTCTGCAAAAATCATCCTTAGATGTTTATACTGAAAGTAACAAGCGACAACACAAGAGCACTTCGGATACAGTGATTCTCAGTGTTGATACGGAAAGCAGTCAGGATCTAGACAGTGATGAAGATACCACACCAGGCCTGGTAAGAATTTAATTACTAGCTTATTCAAATTTTTCTTATTTTAAAATTTGAAGTTCTGATAAGCTAAGGGTATCCAGGGTTTATGTATGTTTAATTGAAATTTTATTTTTTAAATGTTGAACACAACTTCCTTGGTTAATTTTACTCTTGGTTTTGATTTGTCAAGGAGAGGATTGACTTAATCTTCATTCTGTTTCCCTTTTTCTTCCTCTCAGTTTATTGCAGATATTTTTGGGTCTACTTACTATTTATGGTGTCTTGCTCACCTTTACATATTTATGCACAATATACCAGAAGAAGTTGGCCTGTGGGACATATGGCATTTGAGTGACCCTTGATATGAGGGTAGGAAAGTCATCAATTGATTAATATAGCTGAATAATATTTCCTCTACAAAAAGGAGAAAAATGATGGAGTAGAGAAGATATATGAGAAACACTTATTAGTACTATTGAAAATAATAGTTTGAATCAGTTAAAGGAATTAAGCATCTAATTTTTAGACTTCTATTGCCTTTAAGGAATGTTGTACTTCATTGAAAGTGACAGATTTTATGCAAGACAAGATAAAACCATACCACATGTCAAAAGTTAATGGAACAGAAAATGATGATAGGGGAAAGGGAGATAGGATAATTGTGGTGGTGTTCTTTTGAAATAGGAATTCAGTTTATGTTTTTCTGTCTCAAGAGGTAAGAACTAGGACCTCTGGTGGGACATCATGGGTCTGTTATTAGTGCATTGGACTGGGGGGTTGAAAGCCTAGGTTTTAGATGTGGCTGCTTCTAAGAAACCTTGTGTTTTTAAGCAAATCACTCGACAGGGGATTGGCTAAGATCATTGCTTCTCAAACTATAGCCTGTATCATAATTTCCTGGAGGGCTGTTAAAACTCCATTGCAGGACTCTACCACTAGAGTTTCTGATTTTCGAGAAGTTTTGGGGTGGGGTAAAGAATTGGCATGTCCAACACAGTTTCCTAGAGATGCTGGTGCTGTTGGTCTGGGATGTCATTTTGAGAACCACTGGATTCAGTTATCTCTTTGGCCTCTTCGACTATAAGATTCTGAGTATATGAGGCTAGTGGGAAGTAGATTTTATTTTTTTAAATTTATTTAAAAATTTTTAAAAATTGTTTTTTAATTTCTGTTAACATACAATGTTATATTA